CAATGGGCGATACAGAAAAGAATTTAACACGTTCGCGGTACGGTAATGTCGTTAGTCGATATTGATACGTCAATTAGGCAACATGAATAACATCAAAGATCGCGAGAAAATAGCAAAACAGATTGCGAAAACGAGCGATTCGATTTGCAAAAAATATCGCGCTTTGAAAACTGGTAAAATAGATGAAGATGTAGCGTTGGAGAGACGCTTCAAACCCATCGTCGAACCTCTAAAACAGATTGTCGAGGAAACACATCCAATTAAAAAAGTAGCCAATGTTGCAAAGGATATCAGTATTAAGAAAAGAAAGAAACGTGAAGACAGCGATGACGATGACGATACTATTATTACTACTAACAGGGATTCGTATTGGACGGATGTTGGATGGTTGAAATTATCGCCGCAATCTAAAAAGCGTACAAAATAATTGAATACCGCGTCAGATTCATTCACGTTCGATTCTACATCGATAGAACTGTCAAAAGAATTACCGAAAATACCGCTATTCGTGCGAAATGAAAATATTTTTGAAACAAAAGACGTTAGTGAACCGTCATTTGAAACAACCATCAAACAGAATCTGCAAACGTATGGAAGTCGTGAGACGCTTCATAGTCAGCTAGGACCATTGGGACGAAAATACGTGGGTCTTCTTCTCGATGACAACATAGATAAAGCGATCGATAATGTGTACAGTATCTATTTCGATAAAAGTGATGACAGTGGTGCGAGAGGTGCTTGGTGACAAAAAGTTTGACGTTGACAAAAATGACTCCATAATCATAGACAATGTGAGATACAATGGTACATCAGGATTATACGAATTGATCTTCAAGAGACTTCCCGAAGCTATATTTACCAAAGATGACAAACAAACGTATAAAAGTATACTATTAACAACGAATGCTCATAGATGTGATCACAGCGGATCCATAATCCCATCATGGGCAACAAGGGATACAAGTACATTAACATCATCGCTCCGCTCGTATCTACATATAAAAGAAGCAGTAAAAAGGGTGCAGGCATGAATAATATACCATCCACCATGAAGTTAAATGACAACAAGATCGATTACGTGCATTGGGACGATCCCAACGAACTGATGGATCGACTTCGATTACTCGACGCTTCGCACCGAGCTGGTCACAACGCTCACAACGAGATGCTGTCGATCATCGAGGAACTTCGCGAAGCCGGCATTATTATAAATTAAATCGCGTGTCGACGAAACGAGCCAGTTGATTGACGTCAGTGAGGAAAAAAACTTTAATTGTAATATATCTTATTTACACTCATTAATATCAAACATCGTCGAAACATGAGATCGTCAAAATCCGATGGACGTGAAAAAAATATTAACTCCGTAAGGTGACGACTCGTCGAGGAATTGCACGCTCCAGCCAGAAGAAATTTTCCACGAAGACGTGTCATAATTCAGGGATACGATGATCTGTGGCAAGCTGATATCGTCGAGATGCGCCCATATTTGAATTTCAACAGAGGTCATCATTACATACTCACCGTTATCGATGCGTTGAGCAAATATGCCTGGGCCGTACTGCTCAAGAGCAAGATCGGAAGCAAGACGACTAACGCTATCGCCGAGATAATTCGAGAGAGCGGAAGATGCCCGAGAAATTTGCAAACGGATATGGGGAAGGAGTTTTACAACGCCGATGTGCAGAAACTCTTGAAAAACATAGCGTTAATCATTATTCCACGTATTCGATATTGAAGGCATCGATCGTCGAACGCACACTTCAATCGCATACTTAAAAACGACATGTGGAAGATGTTTACACTTAATGGTATTTACAAGTGGGTCGACGCGCTGCCGCGTCTCGTATTAGATTACAATGCGCGCAAACATTGCACTATTGGCATGCGACCCATTGACGTAACTCCCGCGATCGCTAAAAAACTCTTGGGCACGGTGTACAGCGCGATAAAGATCGCAGGTCCAGCAAAATTCAAAGTAGGCGAATCGGTACGCATGAGCAAGTACAAGACAGTTTTCAAAAAAGGTTACACGCCAAATTGGACCACCGAGGTGTTTAAGATCGTTAAAGTGCAGCGTACTAATCCCGTAACCTACTCGAAGACTATCGCGGAGAATTCGTTGCTGGAGCATTCTACGAGCACGAGTTGCATCGCGCGACTCATCCGGACGTGTATCTCGTGGAATAAGTACTGCGTAGGAAAGGAGATAAGGTTTACGTCAAGTGGCTGGGATTCGATGGGTCACATAATTCTTGGATACACAAAAATAATGTGATTTAATTCATTTATTGTAAACAAATATAAAAATATTTATATAAAAATTTTAAATTCATTCGTTTTATTGTAAAAACAAATAAAAAAATATTTATATAAAAATATATAAAATAAGTCTTATTTTTTCTTCCATTACATTTTCGTAAAGAAACTATACAGATGGACTAACTACGATGAACTTAAGATAATATATAAAATGTATAAAACTACGGGTAATACGTACATATGTACTTACAAACTACAAGTACATATAAACTACATGTACATATAAACTATAAGAAATACATACATATGTATATGCATACGTACATATGTGCATAAATTAAATAAACTACAAGTATGTATATACATACGTACACACGTACATACGTACATATGTATATGCATACATACATATATACATACGTACATTACATACTGTACATATGTACATACGTACATATATACATACGTATATATAAACTATAAGAAATACGTGCATATGTATATATATATGTATAAAACTATATATAAAAAAATATATATATATTACAAAGATATTCGCCAATGTCCCCATGGTAACGTCGAATCCGGTATGATGTATCGTTTGTCAGTATGGACTCAGAGCAATTTTTTACTCAGATACCGTATATACTTGGTGTAACTTGGATCTTATACATGACTGGCGACGAGTCATTTCGATCTCTTCATTCAAACACCGTGTATAATCATCGAACGTTATTGTTCGCGCTACGACGTTATTCTTTACACCTTTCGCCTTTTTGGTGTCTTTTTTACCATCCACTGTCATCGCATACATTTTCGCTCTGAGTCCGACAAATTCCGTCATAATCGCATCGTTATTTTCGTCCTTCATTAGGCCGGGTACTTTTTTATTCACGAGAGAGACATACCATATGCGTTGTCCGTCGGATCGCTCGTATCGAATCTAGCGATATCGCGTTTCATCGTCTCGTACACATCATCGCACTCAATGTGATATACAAGACTGTCTGTGTCGGTGTACATGATTTTACATTTGTCGCGATACAGCGGTAACATATATTCGTGGTGAAATTCGTACAAGCAGATTTTTGATATATCGAGTATACACATAAATCGGCTTGTTGAATTTTACCTCGAGTTTACGCAGTTCGACAGCGATTAAATTTTCCGCAAAGACGCTGCGGCTGTGGAAATTTGGTTTCGCGATCATTGCCTCCGCACCGTATCGTCCGTCCCATTTCGTTATTAATTTTACATCCACGTGATTCCGGACATTTTCCATCGTTTTACCGACCGCGTTATTCATTAATTTGTATAAATTTTTTCGAAATCGTTTTTGGCACACATTCTAAGCTGTGTATTAAGTTTGATGTAATCGCGGAGCCAGGTGGATTGAGCGAATTGTAGTACGCGGTGTATCTTTGCGATACGAAGACCGTGGCGCGTACATTGCTGCAGGTTACGATAGTGGATGACATATCGCTTTTTGTCATATAGCGTTGCGAGAAGTTTATTCTGCCGCGTGCCGGGTGGTTTATCGCGCGTCGGATAGACAGGTAAGTCGGTGTGTCGGTTGTGCAGATGATGCGGATACTCGAGATCGACCTCGAGAATATAACCCGTAGGCGAATCCGGAGCGATCGCGCTCGCGTCAAAGTTCGCGATGTCTTCAATCCATCAAAATTTGGCATAGGGCAGCGATTGACCCATCCGTATAAATTGTTCACGTCATAGTACATCAAATACAACGACGGTTTCGACGGGTCGTATGAACGCATATACTTGTTATTAATCTGCGTGTATCTGTTGGAACATTGACTGAGGCCGCCGCGTATACCGCGCTCGATAAACATAATCATATCGATGTCGGTGAGCAACTCAAATTTTACACGCGTATGTTTCAGCATGGCGTCCCACGTGAAACCTGGCAATGTGTAGTAATGAGCGGGATCGAGACTGTAACTTTTGATACAACTTTCACGGAAATTTTCAAAAACATCGGCCAACAACAAGACATCAGTTTTCAAATATAGATTGCTATATTCACCTAAGGTTTCAATAGAGAACCGCTGCTAGATGTTCACGGCGTGCGCGTAATCATTCTCCGACACTGTGTTACCAGTCAACGAGCTATAAAATGATTCGCGCGGTCCTGCAGCTTGTCCGCGCGATCCACATATTCATAAGGAAAGACACCTTTACGCGTCAACAAATCAAAATCGTCGTTCGATAACGTGGAAAATTCGGAATGTAAAATTTTCAATTTCTCTCTACTTAAAAAAGATGTCAATTTATCGAGACTGGTACTCAAAAATTTGTACGAATCGATGAATCGTAATTGTACACAATTTTGCGAATCTGATCTATCTTTGACATGTTTAGTGAATGAAATGTATTTTTCCTTTGTTATCGGCAGCACGTCAATTTTGCCTTCGTACGCCGTAGCTATTTCTGTGATAACAAAGTGCGCGTCATAATCGGATAAATTGTGAAAGACTACAGGAATGCAATATGATTTTTTATATATTATTATATAATATATTTATATATTTTATATATTATTATTTATATATTATATATTTATATATTTTTTATAGTTTATAGTTTAGATTGCAATTCGAATGTGCGGGTCCGCGGTAACGACCGGTAAAGTGGCAATGATCACGTACTCGCGTGTCGTCCGACGCAAATGATTTCTCACAAATGTGACAACGCGTCGCGCTATGGTATGTCTCCTACTAATCTCTCGATAATGTTTCTATAGGGACATTTGCGGATAACAAAATTTTTATTTGATGCGCCAAATTTTCGAGTTGCTGAACGAACCATGCAACGCAGTCTTCGCCGCGACGAAATTGATACGCCGATAATCGTCGTACGAGCATCGCACATAATATCCTACGGTAAATACCTTGTGCTGCTGGTGATATGTGTACGACGTGTTTTCTCTTTCCGGCTCCATCCTTATGCAGTATGCACTCAAGATCTGCGTAGATGATGTATGGAAGTCGTTCTTTGTTGCAGTAGTTCTTGAAGTCGAGTCACTTGTCGTCCTCATTCGACAGTCGGATGGCGCAATCGTTCATCCGTTCGCAATCCACCATATGCGATTCCAATTTCTCGGATGAATTAAAATAATGTAAACATCTGCAAACGGAAAACATAATTTTTTAGTATTTTTAGCATTTAAATTAACAATTATAAAATATTTTACATATTTTACATATTTTGTTAAAAAATGTGCCGATCACAAAAGTATTTTTTGTGTTCTTTTTTACTCAGTTGCGAGCTCACAAGACGAGATAAGTTTTTGATGTACGCGAAGTGCCCATTATCGACGCGCGGATCCTGCATGTACAACAAATTTGCATGTTTCTCCATCTTCTTTGTTGTCAGATGTATTGGGAGAATCTCCTTTTCCTTGATACCGTAGACGTTGATAGAGATTTCGTTGAGATGTTCGAATTTTTTAATTTGATTCAATGTCATCGGAAACGTAATGTCTTGGAGATTTAACACCGTCGTATAATGTGGATACGATGATTCCCGATTTGTATGCCTTTTAACCGGATGCAAGGCCGCGACCACTAACCATGCGAAACACGCATTGTCCGTTGACTGCACGTTAATTACCGCTCTCTTTAACATAATTTCCCGCGGTAACTCGATGTAACACCCCGTGTGCATGGGATTATATTTATTAACATTAATTGTTAAATTTAATATACGTGATAGCGCCCATCCAATGTCGCGTTCTTGAAATTCTTCGAGCGATGCCAACGTAGGTTCGATGACGTGCTCGTACCACTCATCCACATTTGACACTCGAAAGAGTTCACTATTTTTAGTGTTTATACTTTTATTGGCGCGTTTATCGCCCGTCACAAACTCGCCGTTGAACGCGGTGTTCACTTTTACATTATCGTGTCTTTCTACAATGTCTCGCACTCGTTCGAGCACTACACCACCGGCATCTTCCAAAAATCGTCGCGGCTTGATATAGTTCACGTTGATCACCGCACCAGTCAATATACGACTTTCAAACGTATCAATCTCGCGCCAAACGAGAGATCCATTGCCTCGCGGTGCTCGCGTACTCGTCACCAACGTGCACGAAACGTCTTTCTAATTGTACCTTTGCACCCGCGAGTCGTGCGATCCTCGCCACCACAGATTGTCTATTTGCAACGATGAATCGAGGACGCTTAACACGACTAAGTTCTTCGAGTTGTTCGATGCACTCGTCGCATTGTTGTAGCCACGCGAAACATTCCACCAAAGTAGCGAACTGGCTGCATTGTTCTAGCAGTTCGCGTTCCACTCGCTCGAGATGTTCCATTTTTTATACTACGTCCCACGAAGCACTTGCACTTGCACGTGATTTGTCCACAATATCGTCTTTTTTACGCGGTGCAAATTGGGCACATGTTACATGACATTGTTATATATACGGACTGACTACAATTGGAGCAAAATCGACCGTTTAACGTATCAAGAGTATTTATCTCAAGTTTCCTAATGGCATACATTATTCCAATGTCAGACGAACTATGCATTCGGCACATACAATTAGAGCACCACCAGTCGAATAATAAAATTGAATTGTACAATGTTTTCTATTATTATTCAGTACAAGGAGTTCCGAACGCGTAACAATTTTCTTTGCATAATCTGTTAGCTCCTCACTCTGATCACTTATGCAATCACTGTCGTCAGATAACGCGTGCTCATCAATATCAATGTCAATGTCAATATTTCCAACATTCTCAATTTCTTCTTCTTCATCTCCCCACACGTGCATTATATTCGCGATGTCTTCCATGTCCATATTTATCACATTCAATATTCGCACCGTCAACTATTTTTTCACACAGTATCGTGATCGATATTCGTTTATATTTCACACAGTATCACGATCGATATTCGTTTCGAGACTTCCGAGATTTACTGTGATTCCGTGTGTCCAAGGATCTACTATATATATTGTCTATAATTTCATTGTCCCTTTGTCGAACTCGAAGCATGGTCATAGGTTTTCCGAGTCACAATTTTGATTTTTTGTAGCAGCCCAAGTTTTCCCGTTTTTTTACCCCCAATTTTTTCTCCGATAAGAAGATTCTCCGATAGAAAAGATTTGATGACTTTTTTTTAAAGACAGCATAACTTGAAAGTAACAGTTGGAATAATATCAATCGATATCCGGAAATAGTTTTTTTCAACATAAAAAGAAACTTGGTATTTATGACGGAATATTATTTATCGGTGTAACATCGATAAAAAATCGTATTCAGTTTTGTAGTTTCCGTTCCGTGTCACTGTCAAAATTTATTTGGCTCTTACGTGAAAACTTGGACTTGACCAAACAGGAACGAGCATGTTTCAATATTTATTATTAGGAAAAAATTAAGAGAGAAGAAGTCCATTTACCGACTTATTTTTATTGAATAATGGATTTTTCGAGATTGTTCGAAATTAACTCGTTACAATATGTACATTTGTTTAGCAGCCGAATTATTGGCGCTTCTCTTACCATGCTATGACACGTACAATTGTCAATGCTATTTTTTCTAAATCGGGACATCATTATAAATCTTCCGAATTAGTTTAGGTACATCATTTTCATTAAATAACGGATTTTTCGAGATTGTTCGAAACTAACTCGTTGCAACATGTACATTTGTTTATAGCAGCCGGAGTATTGGCGCTTCTCTTAACATACTGTGACACGTACAGTCGTCAATATTTTTTCTAAATCGGGACATCATTATAAATCTTCCAAATAGCAATTTGTTTAGATACATAGCAGCCGGAATATCGGCGCTTTTTTTTCCTTTTTTTTCCTACGTCAATTTCTACAAAAAATATCTTTTCTAGCAGCTCTTCCTAGACAAAAAAAGACCTCCTTCCCCCTTACTCCTCAAAAGTACATTCCAAAGCACCATCGACAAAGTATTCCCCCTTCCCCGTGCCTACCAGTTACCCCCTCTCCTTTACCCCCGCATCCCCGAGTTACCTCGCACACCCGCACCCCGCTCGGAGCTCCTGGGTTAGAACCGGCCTAGTATACCTACTCATATCAATTTAAATTGTAGTCCGCGCACAATCAACAACATGGCAGTTGTGTAGCATTTAGATTAAAGCCGCTGAGAAGTTATCCTACCGTTCTTTCTTATACTGTGCCTTAAGCATCGATGAGATCGCAAGCCGCTTTCTTTTATTACTTCCTTGTGCGGTGGGTTGGTGGCACGGTGCACTTGCGCACTTTGCAACGCGATTGAAGCCCCCATATCTTGCTGAATTATTCTATGCTATTCTTCTACTACACGACTAGTGCTCTGCGCAGGGAGAAAAACGACGTTCTCTCTGTCATGAATCCATTGAACGCTACGAGAGATTCACCTTGTTCATCCTAAAGTGACGGGAATTATCGACATATTACAGTGCACCAAAGAATTTTTTATTGGCTTGACAGAAAATCCTCCCAGGCAATTAAAATATGCATAAAAAGAATGTGCGGGACGATCGATTTAATGAATAAATAAGAAAAAAATTAAGAAATTCATTTAATTTTTAGCTCGTACAGCTGTCACATCAGATCTTCCTTAATACAAAAATTCTACAGCTCATATATACAAAATGAGTGCGTCCCACACTCATAGTCCTTCGGACTAGATGAATAAACAATACTATATTTTTAGATTTATGATTGAAAGCTTAGAAAAAAGTTTGACACTTGAATAGATTGTATATGATTTTATGCGTATATATATGCTTGGCGCAGGTATAAAGTGATAAATAGAGCAGTAATTGTAGTCGATCTTGCAATAGATACAGAGGAAAGACAAGAACAAACGATCTACGGGATCGATAAAATATTCAATAAGCTTACTTGCTAAAATAAAGTGAATTTAATTTTTTATCGATTTTCTTGTTAAATCCCGCACTTCTTTTTTGTGTTATGTTTCAATTGCACAAAAGGATTTTGTAATCTGTAAAGTCAATTCCAAGATTCATACCGGCTGTAATGTGTCAATAAACCTGTCAGTATTTTTAATTAAAAACAGTCAACATGTTAACTTCGTTGTTTTTACTTTATTATATATATATATATATAATATAAAATAGGAATTTATATATATATAAATTTTTACAGTTCCGTATGGACAAAATGATGATATGAGTTCCGCAGTTTGAATTACTTTAAAGAACAATACTGAGCTTGTAAAATTACCGTCGAAATAAGACATGTGTTTCTCCCTTGCATGTGTAAGACATGAAAGAATGGACCAATCAGAGTCCTTCATTCTCATTCCGTCGAAGTGAAAAATGAATATACGCATACTATTGATGCATAGATCTTTTTTGTTAGGCTTTGGATTGTAACTTTACAAGCTCAGTATTATTCTTTAAAGTAATCCGAAGTGAATTATATCATTTTGTACAAAGCTGCAAAATGTTTATATTCGTTGAAATAAGACATCGTGTTTCTCCTTTGCATAACGTGTAAGGCATGAAAGAATAGACTAATCAAAGTCCTTCATTTTCATTCTTTTCGAATGGTGTTGATAATAAAAATGAGAAGTGTCCGTTTCGACAAAATAAAGAATAAAAACTTCTATTTGAACGGTTTCAATAATAAAAAAAATCAGAAGCATCCGTTCAGACGGCACTGATAAAATTAATAACAGATCTATTCGGAAGGTATTGATTGTATTAAAAATCAAAAACATCTGTTCAGACGATATTGATTACAAATGTAAAAATTCTAAACTAGATACGGAGAGACGAACAAAGATATATTGGATATGCGTTCTCACGGGAATGGGCGATGAAAGGGTCCATTCTGTAATTTTAATTTAAAAACTACATATGAGGCACGTACACAAAAGACGAGACGTACATGCACTCGACGTCTCAACGCTCGACTACTATAGGAGAAGAGAACAAAAGTACTATTATACTTGCGCTCGCAACGTGTGTCAGAAGAAGAAAGAAATATTGTCATATCTTTCGTGCAGTATGCGCCGTGCGATGGTCCAGCGTCTCCTGTCTCTTGATTATATTCACTATTGCTAACGTAGTATAGTGAATGAATTGAAAAAAATAAACAGCATTTATTAGAGATTCGGAAAAATAAACGGAGACCGATGGATTTGAATTCGGGATCCCTCGCTTACTATCAAGATACTACTAGTCTACATGACCGCAACGGCTCCTCCCTGTTAGATGT